AACAAACTATTCTATTTTCCTTATTATTTTCGTTTCACTGATTAATAGTACAGATGACGATGATGAAGATACGAGGGATGATGGAGAAGAAGTAAAGCTTCTAGAGTGATCGACATTTGGAATGTCAATTTGTTTTTTGGACATGTTTTATTGATATTTGAGGTCTTGAGACAATATGAACTATTATGAGTCATGTATTCTTGTTATGATCAGACTTTTGTGAACTATTATTAGTCTTTTTTATCATAGGACCATAATTATTATGCTTTTTTATGATAGTCTTTTTTATAATTATCTTATTATGCTAAATTAATATTTTATAATGTTATGTGCACTATTAGGTTGATGATGTATCTAAATCAATATATGTGTCAATAGGTTAATAATGTTGATGTTGTATATTATTATACTAAGTTAATAATTGATGATGTAACGATCAGACTTTAGTGAACTAGGATTTCAAATGTCAATTTATAGTTTATCTTCATCGAATTCCTTCTATTATAGTCGGGCTGCGGGTTGGTCAAGTTACGGGTTCGGGTTAGTCGGGTTGCGAGTTAATCGGGTTGCGGGTCGATCGGGTTGCGGGTTGGTTGGGTTGCGGGTCGATCAGGTTGCGGGTTGGTCGGATTGCGGGTTGGTAGGATTGCGGGTTGGGCGGGTTACTGGTCATTGACTTTTAGTCAAATCGGGTTGCGGGTGGATTGCGGGTCGGGTTGATCGGGCGGGTTACTCGGGTCGGGTTACATTTTGACAGCTCTATTTGCCGCCAACAAAAAAAAATGTATATATGTACATCTTTGGTTAAGGAGTTTCACAACCTACAACATATCTAACTTTCAGAAAACGTATTGAATCAGAAAAAATCGACGCTCACCGGAAAAGTCGCCGGAAAATCATCGAGAAAGCCGATCCTCGACGTAAAACTGCGGACACACATCCATGAATCATCACTAAGCAAGTGCGTCAATTTTTTGTAGTTTCGAACAATTATTTCAACGATTTCCAACGAACAGACGGAGGGATGAAATTTTCCGGCGGCCGGAACCTAGCGGGTCCGAAAATTTCCGGCGGCCGGAACCACGCCTGACCGACGAAAATTTGTGGCCGGAGCCAGGCTGAGCCACAAAATGTTTTCGGCTCAGCCTGGCTCCGGCCGCCGAAAATTTTCCGCCCGGCCAGGTTCCGGCTGCTGGAAAATTTCGGCCCACAGTCTGTGTTTGGAATTTTTGGGAAAAATTCGATTTTAGGAGTTGAATTTAGAGTTTAGGAGTTGAATTTAGCGTTTAGGAGTTGAATTTAGGGTTTAGGAGTTGAATTTATTTAAGACCTGAATTTAGTGTTTAGGAGTTGAATTTAGCGTGTAAGTATTGAATTTAGAGTTTAGGAGTTGAATTTAACGGTTAAGACTTGAAATTAGCGTTTAGATTCACAGGAATATTGATGTGTTATATTGTGATTGTAGGAAAAATGTCAGAGTGGTTACCGGCCGATCATGATTACACACAGGAATTTGAGAATGGGATCCATTATGCAAGTGTGGAGTTAGCTGAGTTAGCTGCAAAAGCAATCGCTCAGGAGTGTGGGTTCTTTTTTATTAAAGGAGCATGGAAACCGAATACTAGAGCACTACATCTTGCTACTTCCCTCTGTATATTTTGCGAGTAGGATCGTTAAATCTTATAAACCAGACCCTACGAAGGAGATGCGTGGGAATATTAGTTCGAAGGGTACTGATTGCCAGTTTCAGATATGTATTAAGGAAGTATGGCAAGAGAATGGTCCAAACACATGGGTCATAGCAGGAGTGAAAAGTCATGTAACCGGAGCTAATAGAAGGTTTCACAACCATGAAAAGGTATTGTATCCAGAACATCACCGACACAACAAACAGTTTAGTGAGGCTGAAAAAGAGAGTGTAAGATTAATGAGGAAGGCGGGGGTGAGACCAAATCAGCAGAAGACGACATTCAATACTGAAGGGGATGTGCATCATGATATCAAATAGATGTACAACAGAAATTACAAGACAAGATTGGATGAGATGGGTGAAATGAATGCGATACAGTTTGCGCTTCACGGAGCTGAACAGCGTGCGTACCATATCTGTTTGCAAAAGGACGCTAATAATGTGCTCACTAATCTGCTTTTTACGCACCTTCCGTCCATTCAGATGTTGCATGCATGGCCGTATGTCATCCTCATCGACTCAACCTACAAGACGAACAGGTACGGCTGGCCATGGGTTGAGATTATTGGGGTTACTCCAGTCAAGAAGAATTTCAACATTGCATGTGCAATTATTAAGCAGGAAACAAAGGAAACATATGAGTGGCTGCTGCGATGTATTAAAGGGTTGCTCGGTGATACGGTTCCGAATGTAATTGTGATAGACAAAGAAGGTGGTTTGCTTGCTACTGTTCCTGTGGTCTTCCCTCTCCCACATACTGTCCACCTACTATGTTTATGGCACGTCAAAAACTGTGTGAAGAAAATGTTTGAGCAATTACTGGGTGGAATTGCAAAAAGAGAGGTAGCACAAGCGGTATGGAAGAAATATTTCGACAAAGCTGCATGGAGTTGGACTCGGGAGGGTTTTCTTCAAAAGATTAATGAGTTTGAGAGGATCTGGACAGAGACGAACATAAAAATGGTCGACTACGTGCGAGGTGAGTGGTTGCCTCATCAGACAATGTGGGCAAAGTGCTACACGAACAATGTGTTTCGTCTTGGTAACACGAGCTCGAATAGAGTTGATTCATCTCACTCTTCATTCAAGACTTTCCTTGTGTTTGGTAGAGGAGCGATTGACACTTGTTTTGCGAAGAACCACAACTACATGGAACATCAGTTTCTGGAAGTGGTGAATGAACTGCACAAGTCACTGAACCGCAATCTGAGTAGGACAATTGAGGCTCCATGCACGTTTTTTAGGAGGGTCTTTAGTTGTGACGCAATCAAACTGATGTTAGATGGGGCGGCGGAGTTGAAGGACAGTTGTGCTTGTCATTTTCAGATGACAAATGGACTCAAGTGTGCTTGCTAGGTTGTTCAAGCTAAGGAAGAAGGACGCCAATTCTATGCTCAATAGTTGCATGTATTCTGACGGACTTTGGATTATAAAACCCCCCAGGTCAACAACAAATCAATGATGATTGAGCTTCAACGACAACACTTTAGGCGTCTTACTGTTGAGGTGGAAGAAAGAGGTCCTGAAGTAGTGAGACAAGCAAGAGATGCCCTATTCTATGGGCTTCACCCAGTAGAGGACAATGTGAGGGAACCGGAAGTGAATGATAATTCGAGAGGGCGGCCTCGAACAAGCACCAGTTGCATTCGTTCATATTATGAGCGGTCTCGTTCGAGGAGTACTGGGCCTGGATCGAGTGGAGGGAGGGGGCGATCGAGTGGAGGTGAATCCGACGAGCATGATACAGGTGAGTAATTGGTTTAATATTATAGTCCATCTAGTAGTAATTGGTTTATGTTTGTAAATTTTGTCCAAGTAATTTTGACCGTTTGGTATATTTTTGTAGATTACTCATCCCAGAGCCCCCCAGGGCAATATTCTTACCCTTACATCGAGGAGCTTTTTCCAGAGTTTGTTCGACCTTTGCTGGTAGGCGATTTCAACCCTAATCTAGACAGCCATTGTGGTTTTAGGGAACTTTCTCATTGTATTTATGGGGATGATAGTCACTATCTGCTCATGAGATCGCCGATTGTCCAAGAAACGCAACAACATTTCTGGAAGTACGAGAACTTGTATAATGGTGACCCACTAGCTCACATTCAACGCATCAATTGGCTCGAGGCGGGTCATGCACCCCCAGGGCGATGGATGGATTCTGAGGACTTGTTCGTGTTTGCCACCATCTACAACATCGCAGTCATGGTCTTCTCATACCAGTTGTATGATGTCAATAATGCAAACCGTCCACTACCCAACCGCTACGATGATGCCTATACTATATTGTCTATTGATGCGGACCCAGGTACTTTGCCACCAACCATGTTCTTATCACTGCACTATGTGAACAACCACTACATTCGATTGTACTTCAACCAAGATCAGTTTCCCATACCCCATCTGCATCCACTTTGGCATGGGCTAGCACATCCTAATGTGGCGGAGTGGGGAGCTATTCTCGAGGTTGGACAAAATTTGTTTGCGAGTTTTGGTGGTCGGCAGCGAGCCAGGCAGAAAGACCCCCGAAGAGCTAGGGGAATGGGTAGGGGTAGGAGCAATGCATAGTGTTGCAATGCTTTATTTGTATGTTGTTTTCTAGTTGTATTTAAAATGGCCCTAGTGTCGTTATCAAGACATTTTGTTTATGTTCTTTCTTATCATCATGAACTTATGGATTTCATTATCTACCCTCGATGTTTTAATCATGAGTATGCAAACATCCGATCCAAACATAAGTAGTCAAACATCCGATCTAAACATAAATATGCAAACATGTAGTCTAAACATAAACATCTTATCCAAACATAAGTAGTCAAACATCCGATCTAAACATCAACATCTGATCTAAACACAAATAGTACAAATCATAAATGATCCAAACATCAAAACAACTAAATATCCCCTGGAGGGGGGAGTCCCTGAGAGAGCCAGTACTCAGTCCACACATCCTGCACTCCGTGCAGTGCCCTGTAGGCTCGTCGATAATGATTAAGAAACTCCTCCTCAGTCCCTGCTGCTGCTCAAACCGCAGGTGCAAACGTGTACAAAAGGTCGCGAGCACGCTGCACAAAAAAACCAAGAACAATTGTTAGCTTCACGCTAAGTATATTTATAATAGAGTAACGATCCAGTGGTCAAATCATACCACTGCGGAGTCAACTAGTCGATCTGCATCTCCATCATCCTGTAGGACTCTACAATGAGAGTGCGCCACGAACCAGTCAAGATAGTCGATCGTAGTCTCATATGAATACGTCGTCCAGGGCTGAGAGTACATGTCTATATGAACCATGTGGGATAGCAGAGCATCTCATGCAACATCAAAACTCTCAAGAATCTGAATGACATATCCACCAGGTGCCTCTGGTCGGTCTGCTCGCTGAGGCAGCGAAGGGGCAGGCGGTACCATCTGTTGGTATCCAAACTGTCGGAGGCAACGGGCTGGATCATAGAACTCGCTTATACCAGCGAACCGGATCACTCCAGTGTACAAAGAGCGACGCACTGCCTGATGAGGCCTCTTATGGAAAGGTGTCCAAAACACATCAGAAGGGGTCAAGATGTCAAGAGCTTGACGGTAGAACGCCAACCTCACACTAGGATCCGCCACAGAACCAGGTGCCGGCTGCCCAATCCATCGTGAAGCCCAAGCCTCATTAGGTCCAACGACGGGTGGCTCGAAGTGAGATGGCCTGAAACCCGGAAAGTACTCGTAGATCCAACACTGCATAAGTGTGAGACAACCATCCACCCCCAGGGCACCAGCACGAGACGCTTGACCAAGGTATTTGTACAACCAAGCAAGTGTACCTGACGCCCAACTGTACTGAACTACCTCCTCCAACTTTTCCAAAAATAGGTTCACCACCGGCCGAACGCTATCTCTGCTCTTGTCCACAAACAAAGTGGACCCCAACAGCAACAACAAGTACGACTGCGCCTCTGTCACATTTGTCTCGTTCACCTGCAAGTATCTGGACGCCATCTCCGCAAGAAAACCACCCTTGTTGTACCCCTTACCCTTACTAACATATCCAGGGGCCTCCGACCACTCAGCTCATCCGAGTTCATCCCAAGAAGCGCACACAAACCCACCTCCGGATGGTCACATTGTGCAGAAGTCCAACTCATCAGTCGTCCCTCAACAGGAATCTGCAGTAAGTACTGAACATCGTGGAGGAGGATCGTCATCTCTCCAAAAGACAAGTGGAAGGTGTTCGTGTCTGGCTGCCACCTCTCCACAAAAGCTAAGATCAAAGCCTCGTCAATCGCTATCTTGCGGAACATAGAGTAGATCAGGTGCTGGAGACCTGACTGCTGAACCAGATCCTCCGCACGAACATGTGTAAACACGTAGCTACCCAGATACTCAACCGCTGATGTACGACTGTAGCAACTGATGACCCCTCAATCTGCAATCCCCGTCCAAAGTGCATAGGCAGCGTGGCCACGGAAGCTCCTAATGAGGCTAGGATCCGTAGGTCCACCAGGACACTCACCAACAAGCTCCCACGGTGGACAGACCATGGGGTACTACTGGACCGCTAGAGCCGCGGACATGAGGTCGCCCATCCAGCACCGTCAAGTTCCAGCAAATAACTTTGAGGTGAGCACCTCTGTCATCACCATGCTGCGCGGTTCGGTGGTATTCCGTGGCAAGGAGGGGGAGTGCCCCCGATCACACCTAAGGCGATTCCACGAGCTCATCGATGGGATCAAGATCAATGGGGTCCCAGCTGATGCAATCCAACTGAGGTACTTCCCATTTACTCTGGAGGGGCAAGCCAAGGAGTGGCTAGACACTCGACCTCCAGGCTCGATCACCACGTTCGCCAACCTGCCGGACAAGTTCCTCACCCGCTACCATCCTCCGTCCAAGACGGCGGACCTGCAGAAGAAAATTACCCACTTTGCTCAAGACGAAGATGAGACCATTCGGGATGCTTGGGAGAGATACACCAGTCTCTTCCTCAAGTGTGCCAACCATGGTTTTACCGACGCCTTCAAGGTGGGCAGTGGGCACCTTCTACCATGCCCTCTTCCCAGAAGACAAGCAGCTGATTGATTCGGTTTGTGGCGGGAACATGCTGACCAAGACGCCACCGCAGTTGAATCAGCTCTTTGAGGAGATGGCAGAGAAAGGATATGATTGGGGCACTGCTAGGAGGTCGAGGCGAGCACCAAGCCGAGGTTTACATGCTGTGGGCACCCACTCTTCTGATTTGGTGCAGGTTGTGTCTAAACTGGTCTTAGCCATCGATCAGAATGGGATAATTACGGGGACAGGGCAACAACCGGCAATGCGTTGCCAGTGGTGCGAGAGCGCCCATCATACTGTAGAGGACTGTCAGGCCATGCGTGATTCTAGTACACCCCAGGAGCAGGTGAACTTCATCAACAATGTCCGGTGCAACGACCCATACAGTAACACGTACAATGAGGGATGGCGCCAACATCCAAATTTCTCCCGGAGTGGCAATGGCAATCCGAAGCCACCTGGCTTCCAAGCTCCGGCAGCTAGTTTTCCGAACCAGAGGCAGCCATACCAGCCTCGCCCAGGCAAGATGCAGCAACATCAACCACTTTATCAGCTCAGACAGGGGCAGGCCTTTCAACAGCCCCCACAGTAGCAGTACCTGCAGCCTGGTGCATCTCCATCAGTCCCAGCACTGGGCGATCTCGTGTCAAAACTGAGGGATCTAATGACTACCTTGGCCAGCACTAGTACCCAAAAGTTCAATAAATTGGAGCAATTCATGGAAGTGGCTGCAGGCAAATTCATGGAGATTGAAGCTGGCCACAGAAACCAGCAGGCACTCCTACAGGATATGGACACCAAGATCGGGCACTTGGCAGATGCCCTTGCTTCTAGACCAACTGGCACACTTCCTGGCCAACCCCTGCCGAATCCCAGAAATCATAAGGAGGGGTTGCATGTCATTATGTTGAGAAGTGGGACTGTGACTGCGGATGCACCGCAGAAGAGTGCTAAGAAGGTGACCCAGATCACCCCAGAACCCGAAGAAGACCTAGTGATGGAAAAGGAGCCAGAGGCTCAAGCTCCAAAGCCACAACCAGTAGTGGCTGAATACAAGCCTAAGCTTCCCTTTTCCCACCAGGATTTACAAAGACAGGCTGGAGGCAGAGTTCGGAAATTTCTCGTCCATGCTTAGGAAGCTGAATGTTCAAGTGCCCTTCATGGAGGCACTATATCAGATGCCTAAGTATGCGAAGTTCCTGAAGGAGCTTCTCTCAAAGAAGCCGAAGCTGAGCGAGCTAGCCACTGTGGAGCTCAGCGAGGAGTGCTCGGCCATTCTGCAGAACAAGCTTCCGTAGAAGCAGAAGGACCTAGGTAGTTTTACTATCCCGTGCTCTATAGGTAAATTGCATGTAAAGAGGTCCTTGGCGGATCTAGTGCTAGTATTAATGTGATACCATATAAATTGTTCAAGAAACTAGGCCTAGGTGAACCAAGTGCAACTAGGATTAGTATTCAACTAGCTGACCGATCTATAGTTCATCCTAGGGGCATAGTGGAAGACCTTCTGGTTAAGGTTGGCAGATTCTTTTATCCTGTGGATTTTGTTGTCTTGGACATCAATGAAGACACAGAAGTGCCCCTTATACTAGGAAGGCCTTTCCTGGCCACCGCCAAGGCTCTCATAGATGTGCATGATGGGACCTTAGTCTTGAGGGATGACGAGGACCAAATATCATTTTCCATTACTAATACTCTCCCTGCTTCATCACCTTTGAATGTTTTTTCTCACCAGGAGCACGAGTCTGTCGTGTATCCTTTTGTGCTCCCCATTTTGCAAGACCCCCCTCCCATACCTTCGCCGCCACTCCCGTCCACTTCGTTACTAAAAGAAAATATCAAGGAGGAGTGGCGGCCGAAACTGCAGGTAGCTAAGCCTGCCCAAAAGATACCCGGAGACCACTATGAGCTAGTCCCGCCTCCTAAGCCTCGACCGCCTTGGCCATCCGAGTATGCACTCGCTTGCATCCTGTCGGATGGTCAGGTCGAGTTGGTGAGTGCTGGTGGTCACACCCGTCGTGTGCATGGCCACCATCTGAAGTTGTACCTCAAGAGTGATGTGGATCCGCTCTTGGAGGCATTCCTTCACCTCTATGAGTATCCACCCTACTGGCGTCCAGCTAAAAGACGGTAAAGAAGCACTTGTGGGGAGGCAACCCCACCAAGGTTTGTTTTTCTTTCGTTTGTTTTTCGGTTTGTCCACTTGGAACTATGGTTTCTATCACCCAGTGTGTTTTGATGACTCTAGACCTGCTGAGTGGTACCATTTCCAGTCCCCCGACATTCCGTATTCCCGGTAACATCGTTTCCCCTTATCTTTCCCTCTGCTCCATTAAGGGCAATGTCGTGCTTAAGTGTGTGGGGGGGGGGTGTTTATCTATTTTTGACTGGTAGATGAGTTTGTGTTCTTGGAGCCTAGTCCACTGTCCAATTTGATGAATTGAGGGCTCCAAGTACTGTTCCCTGCAAAATCCTGCTTTGTATGCTTTGAATTGACAGTCTTTATGGTGATATGCAACCTAGGGAGGTAGTTGTAGCACTATGGAGGATGTTGAAGTATAAGATTTTTTCTATCTATCTCTCTGTTGTGTCGGTTGATTTTGTGAACTAGTGGATTTAGGACCGTTGATTCATGTGGTATTGATGACTCCTCTTATGTTGTGTTGTGGACTCGTGTATCGAAAAAGGGTGCTCAAGTGTGAAATAAAAAAGCAGTTGGTCCTCCATGTCAAAAATTTGAAATTCTAAGACATGGGGTAAGCCCAACGTGTGTGGCACCGTTTATTGCACAAAATCGGGTTTTGGAAGAGATTTTAGTGATCCTTGGTGGGGTAGGCCTACAAGGTGAAGCTAAGTTGTCTCTAGTACAAGTAAAATTTACACCCGTTGAACGTTTTGCCTACTTGAGGATGTGTTTTTAAGGGCACGGATAGAGCTTCCGACCACCTTAATTTCATTGACCCTCCACATGAAGTGAGGAATAGGAGTTAAAAGAAGTACTCTAGCGAGTGACCGATGTACAGAAACTGCTCTTGCTCACCTAATAAGGGCAGACCGCACATACAAACTGCAGTTGGAACCCCAGCAAAGTAAACCAAAAAGAAAGAAATGAAGAAACAAATAGTAAGAAGAAGGGGTTCCAACAAGTGAAATGAAATGAAAGAGCACCCGATACAATGAGTCCTAGGTTGTTGAATTGTGTGAGTCTCCTTATCCATGAATTGACTGTCTTAGTTCCACTGCTTCTCATGATCCTGGCTTGAGTCTAGTACTTGCATTGAGAGAGATAGGGGGCGTCTTAGAAGACCAGTCGACCTCGTAAGTTGCTAAATGATCTAGAAAATCCTCTGCCGATGATCGGGGGTGCATGTTGCTATAGTGGTCTGGAGAGTTGCATTGGTTTGAGTTAGGTTTGCTTAGGGACAAGCAAACAGTTAAGTGTGGGAGAATTTGATGACTTGATATATACACATGTTTTTATCCAAAGGAGAGGGAATCGAGTTTTTGAGCAAAAAACAGAGCCCTAGAGAGAGAAAGTGCGAAGAACACATCCTAGAGGTGATTTTGGAGCTGGGTTTCATCAATCGAGCTTGGAGATCATCATAGGAGTAAAGATCATCATCCCATAGCAGATTTTCCTCATCTTTATGAGTATGACTACTCTGATTTCTGTTTTCCTCTCTCTCTCTCTCTATGGAGTAGAGCCTCACTTGGGTATGAAGAACCCTAGTTCCATGTGTTAGGGATCTTGATTGTAATAACTTGGGATTGTTATACTGATTGGTTATAATCGATTGATGCATGATTCATTGAGTCAATTGAAGTCTGATTATCTTTTCTTGATTTCTGCTGCAACCTGAGATAGATAGAAGCTGATTAGGTTGTTAGAGCTTCATCAATCGGTAGTGGTAGATTGGTTATACGAGAGTTAATCGATTTACTGCTTT